GACCATGTCTTACTGCTTTGCCTCCAAATGTCTACTATATATGCCCGACTACTTATGTATACAAGTATATACGAGTACATGCATTCGGCAAGTGGTTTCACTTACCTGTTCAATTGGCACAGATCCCCATCTGTGGCTGTCTGCACTTTTTCCCCCAGCCCTGGCTCTAATTGTTCTGGGCCACTGAAGCGCGTCTACTCCGAATATCGCGCCCTCACGGCGCGTTGCTCGCCCTTTTTAATGGTGAGTGTGTAATTTTGGAAAATTAATATCCGGTCCCAGACGCTGCACGCGCTGACCTTGCAATGAATGTCTGGCGGCGTTATCTGGGCCTAGTCGAACACAATTGTGTAAACAAATGTTAGCTGCTATCGATGCAGACTGCCAACATCTTCCAGATACAATTGTATCTGTGAGTCGCTGAAGTTACCTACGAAGCCGCCGCTTTAATGTGCGCCTCTTTAGCTCAGTGGCAGAGCACTGGTCTTGTAAACCAGGGGTCGTGAGTTCAATCCTCACAGGAGGCAGTCCAAAAGGGTCAATACAGCGGCAGCGCATCCTCTCCCTTCATTTTTGCGCAACAATTGTTAGATCTGCAGTAAAGGACTGGGTGGGCTACCAGCTCAATAAAAAAACTAATTGGATTCGGATTGTAAAAAATGACTACTGGGCAGCGGAGCGTTACACACTCCACTCATTCATGGTCAACACTTAGTTTTTGCTTTATTTATGATATCTATCTATAACAGCCAACTTTTGCGAGTTTGGAACAACAAAGGAATCTGAAATACACTGCAATACATTAAAGGGATATACATTTTTTCCAAAAAATATGCAAATATTATTTAATATCCTGTAAATACAATATATTTACTTTGGTTTAAGTTCTTAAAGTGAAACTTCTTCCCTGAGGCCCTTTAAAGCTGGATCGGCGACCTTTTCTGGGACGAACTTTATTTTCGTCGTACAGTTCAAACGACAAAATTTAAGAGCAGGCCGCACAGTGATATTTCGTAGTGCTCTGCATGGAAATACCATTGTAGCACCAAGTATGGACCTTATCCGGAAACAAAGGGAAACACTTTTCATTGGACATCATCTTTTGAAGAAATACAGTCCGTGAGGTCTGACGAGTTTCGAGTAGCCATGGACCAAATCCCCATCAAAATGATTTTAATGTTCCTTTTGATTCAGTTTGTAACAAGAAATTATCTTTAAAAATTAACAATTCAGCAAATGAATTCAGAAAACGATAATTGACGCTAGTCTAAATTAAATAAATTTTATTATGTACAAAATAGAATTGTTTTGACTGAGAAGTTTAATGTTTGAAGACTTCAAAGCTAAAGACACTACGCATACATGACAAACTTTAAGATATTTTCGAAAAAACATAATGCCTTTAGTATTTATTAATCGTTCGAAAATTATATAAACTATTTTTTTGAGATAAGACTTTAAACCTATAACTGAGCTCCGACTAAGTCTGACTTAAAAAGTCCAGAAATTAGCAGCACCCATATTCAGCGGAAAGTTCCCAAAATTGTATCTTCAATATATAAAACTTAGTACAACAATTGGAATGTATAGTAAAGCAACACCCCAGATGGATTCCATGGATTTCAGTTAGCTCGTCTACCGCACATAAGCGGAGACACCGGAACACCTTCGCTGTCACTTCCCAGAGAAAGGCATGAGACTCTGATGTAATATATGTAGCTCTCGGGACTCAATCGCTGGCTTATAAAGATCAGCAATGGGCTTTTAAGACGGACGAAGAATTTTCTGTTCAGAACTCATATTTTCGAATTCTTCTTACGTATTATTCTCTCTAATAGACGTTCTACCGGATGCCCCAATATTTTTAATATTTTTAATAATTTTTAATAACACTAAATGATTATAAAAACGATTGATTTTTTAATTGAAGTTAACTAAATGTTATGTCTACTTAGAACTTCGCACAACAACAAAAGTAATTTAGATGACGAATAGATCAGCTTGTCTCTAAATATCTGAATGTTTTTATACCCTGTACCCAAAGGGTACAAGGGTATATTAGTTTTGTGCGAGTGCACATGGAACACACAGAAGGAGGCTTGGTAGACCCCACAAAGTATATATATTCTTGATCAGCATGACAAGCCGAGTCGATATAGCCATGTCCGTCTGTCTGTCCGTCTGTCTGTCTGTCTGAACGCAAGGATCTCCGAAAGTATAAGAGAGAGTATGAGACCGAGAAAGGACGAGTTTGTTCATTTTTTCTGATCCACCCCCCCACTCCCCCCCCCCCTATTAACGATTTTCTATAACTCCCGTAATTCTTGGAATTTTGAACTTAAATTTGATAGTCACATTAGGTTAGTGATTATATATCCGTATACCAAGTTTCATTATGATAGAATGATTGGAAAGAAAGTTATAGCCAAATAACCAGGCCCAATGCACACATACATACATATGTACAAGTACACAAACACGCATAAGGCACGATTCTCATGTAAATGTAAATGTTTGTATGCATGCATGGAATATTTTATATTTAATTTAGTTAATTAATTTAATTAAATTAATTAATTAATTTAATTACTTTTTCGTGGGGTGGTACAGGGTATTTAAGAGTTGAGCCTGCTCGACTTTAGCATTCCTTTCTTGTTTAATTTTCATCAACTACTTCTTGTTTTACGGCTGACTGTGACTTTTTAACCAACTGATTGCAATTAAAGCGAAATGTCTGTTATTTCGATGGATAAAACTATAAGGAATCTATGTACCTATATATGTTTGTATGTGCGTATAATCCTGAGCAAATAGCTTGTAATAACAAACAACTTATTCAAATGAACTCTCCGTTTCTCACATGGGAAATAAATAATAAACAAAATACAAACTAATCTACGAATACTGATTAAATCAAATGTCAAGTTGCTCAAAATTTGGAAACCCAGTATTGTAATCAGACGATATCATATCATAAAGGTACAATTCATAAAGATCGTTAAGTTGTAAATAAACAATGACTTTATTTTTTCTTTAATTCCATTCAATCCGATCTGATGACGTTTTAGTACAATTTTTGAAATCCTTCAATTCTGAACAGAAAATGTTGCTCGTATAGTATTCATTTAAATAAGATGGTCTCTAGGATTATCTTAGATTGTAGCATCGCATTAACGGCCAGTGCGCATTCGCATAAATTACTGTTCTAGATGGCTTGCCTCACTGCTGGTATTAGCTCCTCCATTCCACACTATTCATTGGCCTTTGCCCTCTGTCCACTAAACATGAAAACACGGTCACAAAGTGCCCCTTGAGATTTTTTCTTCATGTGTCGGATTTGGGTTTTTTCTTTTCCTGAAAATTCATTACAAAAAAAAAATTTAAAAAGTGATTTTTCAATGTCTGAGCAGGTAGAGCACTCCATCCACACTTTATGGCGGGATATCCTTGAGGAAGTGGCTTTGTGTTGCACTGACAAACAAAGTTCATATTTTCATTCCGCGCTCCGTGTCTCTTTTGGTCTCTTGGATTCTGTTTCACTCTCTGCCCACGTTATCTCAGATCACCTGTTCAGTCGGCCTATTGTGTCGTCTTTTGTGCGTCTTTTGTTGGAGTTATAGAAAACGAAAGACTCTAGTCACAAACTTGTATGGAAATTGCGCCTTTTATTTGAAAAGACTCTTTCGATTTTGTAATAGCTCTCGCACAGATACACACAGAAATACAATAGAGTTTAGCTAACGGTTATCGCATTGAAAAGCATTTTGCTGTTTTCTAACATTTTTATTACGTATTCTCTCAAAATTGTGATTTATAGGCGCCATCGTTGTCCAATCGAAATCCATGCACATAATAAATATAAAACATTTGGAAAGTGCTTTTTATTTTAGCACTCAAAATGCGTAAGCAAAACCACAATTAGATGCCGTTACCAGTCAATGGCGACAGCAACAACAACATCAACATAAAGAACAACAAACACAAGAGAGGCGCACAGCACTTGAAACTTGCGACCAGCACGTGCTCATTTAGAGCCTGTTTTTAGTGCACATTTGGGTTCATCATTTATCCGCCGCCCTTCTTTTTTCTCTTTTTTTTTTTTTTTTTTTTTTTTGATTTATGCCTTTTAATTCCGATTGCCTGTTTTGGGTGCTGTGCCAATTTTAATGATTTTTAATGGCCAAATGCAATCAACGCGCTTCGCTAGTTGCCAACCCCCTACGCCCTACAACCCGTACACCCTACAAGCACACTTCGTCCAACAAAGGGTTGCGCTGAGGACGTTTTTGTTGTTGCTGTTGTGATCATTTTAATTGACTTTGCGCACGAGTGCGCGTGCACATCCAAAAACAGATCAAGATGAGTGCATTTACGGGTATGTATGAAGGTATGTGTGTACATCTGTATGTATAGGCAGGCAGACATAAATATGGATATGCCAACACCACCACCACCACCACCGCCAACGAAAATAACAAAACCAACTGCCAGTCAATGGGTTTGAAATCAGAGCGATATTGGGCGCGGAAATGTGCGTTTACGATTTGTTGCATGCACAGATCTGGGGCATGGACATCAATAGCGACAGCTGTCAAAATATGCACACGCCTACTTGTACTTCTTCTACTTGAAGACGCAATTGTTGCAGTTGTTGCGCTCAAGTCGTGCCTCAAGACAAAGTTCAATGCACTGCGCAACTCTATTCTGCCCATTCTGTAACATCAAATCCCTCTAATCCGTGTCGTCGTCGCACTCCCGCTCCCGCTCAGACTCTGAGCATTGCGTCTGCGTGACTCCATACGGTAAAACCCACCACCAACTACGACCTTAGAGAGCAGTGCATGCACAGAATTCAAAGAGAGCACATTCGTGGTATTCTCTTGATCGTACTCTTGTCGCACTAGCTGTGCGGTTGGCCGTTGTTTTGTGGTCTCTCATGCGTTCAGTGCTTAGGCCAACGTCGTAGTGGCAACAACGCGTCGCGCTCTCCTCCACAGCAATCTCGATCTCGACTCGGCCTTTGTGCTGCACATGCGCAACCTCATCCAGGCAATGAAAATACAAAGCCGTTGTCAGTGGTAGTGCGTGTGTTTGTGTTTATTTGCTTTTCACATTCAAGTGTAAATTTCCTGTTTGTTGGCCAGGAAAATGTCATCATAAAATCGGAAATGCACTCCTAAATGGAAGTCTCTAAATTTCTATATATCCGCTGCACTTCGGAGCCAACGTTCAATGACAGGCAAATTGAATTCATAAAATTTATTGATTTAATTAACCAACACTCGGCCATAATTCGAGCAAACTTTTTCAAATAATACCAATAATACGAACTGTGTTGCGCGCCTTTTAGTAACGGTTTTTGGTACGCGGTTTTGATGCCAAGCCAACAATAGACGGAGCCAACAAATCGAAGCCGCTTACATTGATTTATAGCCCCGAGTGTAAATAATTCACACAAAAGCCAATCGACGCCCCCTCCACCGCTCTGCACATCATGTGGCAACAGTAGCAGCGAATCAGAAATGTTTTCATTGATTCTCGGCTGCATTTAGTTGCCTTCTGTGATTGTTGGGAAGATTTATAGAAATTTTGCTACAGCACTAAATTTCTACAAGTTGTGAAAAAGCGGATTAAGGAGCGCTCTTTATTATTTGCAACTTATTTGGGTGAGTGATGAAAAGAAATATAAATATGCCCTCATTATCGCCTAAGCAGATAAAGCGGAATAAACTTAAATATTAAATGGGTAAACGAGAATGTTTAAGGTGTTTTGTTAGTCAACAATAGAACAAGTCATTTTTAAAAGTTAATATTTAAATGAACACATCTAATAGAATTAGTGGACGCATTTCGACTAAAAAGGCTAAGCATATAGCCTGTGTAATTATTTTGTCTTAGATGGGATTGCTTGAAACATTTAAACATGGTACATACAAGTACATAGATACTTGTTTTTGTCTTAAAAATTTGCCAATTTATTTAGTGAATTTAGTGGTTGGGGTCTTTTGTGTTTATGTTTATTCGTACACTAAGTCAAAAACTTGAGGATTATTCGTAAGTACTTCGTTGGCAGTTAACTCAAAACCGAATCGAGGTTGGGAAAACAATGATAGCGCAACTTTGCGACAACTGCAATGCATCACAACAAGGTCGTTTGAGAAGCGATTGGAGAGGCTATCTGGAAGAAATATTTAAATTACTGGCCAGCTTTCTGTATAGTCATTTGGGGAGAAGAATAAATCTGCTTCTAACAATAGACCTACTCAGATTGGCAAGCAAGTCTATGGGTTATCATAACAAAAGGCAACGTCTGGCTCGCTTCCAAACAAACAAACAAACAATGGGTGGCAAAAGCGCCAAAAGAAAATTGATAAAAAGCTTATGAATAATTTACGCATGCGCAACTGTATACTATATAGAGTCAGAGTTGGAGCAATCAGCCGCTGTGGCTATTAAAACGCGATTTGCATTGTTGATGTCCAGAGAAATATATTTATTGTAATTAACGTTGAGCGGATTGTAGGTTGGGCAGTACCGTTTTAAAATACGAAATGAAAGCCTCTTCGATACACATGCTGACCGCAAAATTCAAATCAAATCTAATCTATGATTGATTCTCAGAAATTGAAACGCAACTCATAAACAGCAATCAGTGCACAGCATCAATAAACTCGCAGACAGCTACCCAACACACAAGTACTGTACATACTTATACAGAATGGTGGTGTACCCTTGACCGCTGCAACTATAGCTGTGTAGAGGTGGTGGTGTAGATGTAGATAAATCCCATGTAATTACATATGAATTTTTGCGGTTGACTCAACGGCAGATACATTCTAAACATCATCAAAAGTTAATACAGTGGCGGCAGGTACCTACACACGAGTATACATACAAGTATATATGAACAATATTGTATAGAATTCTCTGCTAATCGTTTTGTATGGCTGCGCAAAGAGCTTCGTGAATCGTGTTGGCTGCACTCGAGAGTCGAGTAGGGGCAAGTTTTTCATAGTGTCATTAATTTTAATTATTTACCTTTCATTTGTAACTTGGCTGCTGGCAAGCAGCTCGCTCATTGTGAGCGTTTGAATACCAATTGATCAGGGCATAGATGTTTTCCATTTCCACAAGTTCATTAAAATTCCATAGCAACCCTTTTACCGCGTACTGCTCGCTTCAACAGGATGTCAATGTCGTGGTGCACCCCCAGGCCCGTTGACGTCAAATGCTGCTTCTCTTGACTTTTGTGTAGCTATTTTTTTTTATGTGCTCAATGCTAACAACCTAATCAGAGGCAGTGGCATTAATATGTAAATTTTGTGTACGGTTTTTTAAGGTTTCTGCGTTTTATGAATGTATGCAGGTCTGTTTATCTTGCGGCGCCTTTGAAAAGATGCAGCTCCAAGTTTGGATTGTTGAACTGCTCGTGGGCATGCCTGCATTTTGGGCTTTAATATAAGCCGCCTGCGCCAACGAAATGCGTTAGAGTTGCTGTTTAGTATCTTCTAAGTATATACTGAGAAAGCAGCTGATCTCTGACCCAGCTGGATGCTCACAATAATTTCACTTTCATCCGGAGTATTCGTATACAATAAATTCAATCCATCGATCGATTTCGCCGCAGATTGACGTTTCCGATGGCGCTCATTCAGTCATTTGCGCTTTCGCATTGATTGTTGCTTAGGCTTTGCAGAATTAATTGGTGCTGCTGCGTCTGCTTCAGCTTCAGCTTCTGCTGACTTTCTAGAGAGTCAATAAAATTAATTTGCATAAGTAATCAGATATCTCTGCAGCAGCTTTCACAGCTGATCTGAATGGCCCAGTTGCCAGGTTTAACCTGAAAACTGACATTCTATTCGCAAGCACTTGCACGCTGCTTAAGAATTATGCCTAGTTATAGAATTATTGAGCACAGGTGCACGCCTGATATGGACCTGGCTCGAACGCGAGTGCCCTCTGAATCGACGAAGCACACGCACACTTTTAAGGTCAGAGTACGGGTAAGAGAAACAGCTGCACGTTGGCTCAGTCGCGGCTTTTATCTGTTGGCCTTCGGGCATAAGTCAAGCGACTTTAAATGAGCCAAAGAAATGCTAATGCAAAATCATAAACGTCCATGTTGTTGGTAAAACGGAACGCACTTGTGTTCGTATTTGTGTCAAGCCAATTAAAATAGTTTCACAATACCAGTTCTGTCTCGCAGCTAAATATTTTTGCCATCTTGTCATTGTGTTGGTCCATTTACCAGCTAATAGCTTCTCGTGTGATTATTAGTACGAGTATATAGTATAATTACTTCTATCAATGTCACTGCTGTTGTCATTTGGAAACACTTGTGCACATAACTATAGTAACTACCACAAAAACACTTGACACAATGTTGTGCTAATTGTGTGACAAATATCTTACGAATATAATACCTTACTATTCAGATAGTTTTTTTTTTTTTTTTAATGGGGAAACTATGCCAAAAGCAGTTGTTCATAAATATTTGAAAACGCACAGCTGTTAATAAATGCAGCCCGCAGGTCAAATTTGTGTTTATTTCCAAAATGTTGAAAACAAACATGCCTTGGGCACTACAACAATGTTCCCAATGTTTTTTATAATACCTACAAATAAAAGTATAACTTCGACCTTGTGCGCGTTTTGAAAACAAGCCTCTTTCTCCATACAAAATAATTGAGTATGAAATAATGTACATACTTCAATACAAAATTTTTAAATACTTACAAATCTTTAATAAATAAACTAAAATTCAAAAAAACGATTTTGGAAATTTTGCACTTTAGGGGGTTTTTGCTGCCTCCTGTGAGGATTGAACTCACGACCCCTGGTTTACAAGACCAGTGCTCTGCCACTGAGCTAAAGAGGCTGTTACGGGCACGCTGTCTAACTTCTGCTTAGTTATGCGCACCCAGAATCGTTCTTAACAGAAGCGTGGCGTAAGTAACAGTGCGCTGTTATCTTAACAGTTTCTGGTAGCTTACTAATTAATATGAAATGACGCCCAGAATTGTTTGTTTATAAATATACACAGAAAAATATGCATATTATTATTAATATTAAAACAGAGCGTCTTCACCATTTAAGCAATTAGACAACATTATTTGCATTGTTGTATGTACATATAGAAATTGTGTATTCGCAGAGCAACTGAGCTCATCTTAAAGCAATTTAGGCGTAGAAAAAAAGCTGAAATAAATAACAAGCTTGACAGGCAGCACCAAGCGCAACGGCAACACCTTAAAAAAATTATAATTTTGTATGTACGTTTGAATATATACAAACATTTTAACGTGGGGAGCAGACGAATGGCAGCGCCAATGCACAGTGGGAGAAACAAAAAATTTTAATATTGTCAATACTAAACAATTTTATAATTGATTCTAAGCTAGATGAAAAAATAAATTATTCTGCGTCGAAGCTGGTATTTATAACAAAAACCAAATTCCTCAAACGACTGAGTCCCCAGTCTTGGTTTGTAAACGCTCCTTATACCCAGGCAACCCGAGGTTATTTTACTTCCTTGATTCAAAGAAGAAGATCCAAAAAGGAAGCCTTGGAAGCTATAAGACTGTGGGAGGAGTAGGGACTAAAACGGTAAACGTGCGGACAGACATCGCTATATGGATTTGTCGGCTCATGCTGATCATATATTTGCATATAAAGTATTCCTTTTAGGGGTTAGAAATTTACCTACCAAACAATAAATATAGCCTTATATTTTTCATTTACGTACCTATATATAAATATTTGTTGCGGTAGATTTATTTCATTGTCATCATTTTATTTGGATTTATGGAAGTGACCGTGAAACAAAGAACTACGAAATGCTACTGTAAAATTAATAAGTTTCTTTATAATATTCTGTAAAATATATCAACATCAATATATTGAAATGGTTTTGAAACAGTAATTTGTAGAATTTTATTTATTGCAGTTTTTAAAAACTAAAATATGATATTAAAATAGTATTTAAAGCGGTACAAGTAATTGACAATTTTTTGAACTCTCATAGATTCTCAAAGATTATCTTAAAATGAAAGGTTAAAGCAAAGCAGGGTGTCTGTTTTATTTTTTCCACTGTAAGACGCCACAAATGTCTGGGCTCCCTCCAATGCACACCCAAATAGATGAACAACAACTTCTTATAGACAAAAAGTGAATAAATATAAATGCGTATACGGTATGTTTGTAATTTTGAGTAGAATTGCTTTTGATGTCGTGTTTAATTTGCATAAAACGCTCATTCGATTTAAACGCAAAGTTCAGCGCGTGGGAAGTCTTTGTTTCTCTATGCATACTCGTTTGTTGCCATCTAACGCCTCATAGTTCGTATATCTTTGGGTAAAATGGCATGCACTTTTTGTTAAATGCAGAATGTAATTGTTAACAAAAAGCGACTGGCGTTGAGTCGTGCTTAGTGAAGCGACAAATTAGTTTGCGTCCACCTATATAGTACAAGTATGTACATACTATAGATGTAGATACCCCCATTGCAATCGGAAAGAGCAACAGTTCTGCTCGTATTTTGATAATTTGTTAAGTGAACCGTAGAAGAGCTTTAAAAGGCACCTACAACAACCCGATTTGAAAGATTTGAAAAGAGATTGAAAGTCAAACAAATTTCATCTTAAGCAGCGCTAATTGAGACAATAAC